AATGTAATAGTTGAAGTTCTTTAGTACTTTGGTTTCAAATTCAGATTGAAGAATTGCCTATATGTAATCAATTTTTGCTCAAATGTCGTTTTATTATTGTGCTACTATACTTGATTTTTTATTACTAGAGGTAAATCATTCGTTTAATAATTATCTAAATATGAATAATTAATTAAATCTCTATTGGCTAACTATCAATACTATGTAAGTATAAGTAAATGTTTACACAAGACCAAAAAAATAAGAAATAATTAACTATGATATTAAAAATATATCAAGATAGAACAAGTGTCGTGTACTTATAAAATGATTTATGATTTCTATTTGTTAATAACTGTCAACTTTCAAAATACACTAAATTGTATAGAGTCTTAACCTCCACATGATTATAACCATAATATATAATAAATATATTTGATTGCATTAAAAAAAAATATAAAAGATCAAAAAACATCAAAATTGAAAAAGAAATTAAAAGTTCATCGTGAATTCGAAAAAAGAAATTTTTTTGTGAATCTTTGACCGATTATATAGTTTTTAATATTTCAAAATCTTTTATGTCTGTAATAGAGATTAAAATAGATTAATAAAAAAACATCATATAATCTCAATTCGAATAATTGCACAAAAAAAAAAAGAAACAATCAGACACAATTATACATAGTTTTCCAATCGGATGGAATTGTCTATATTAAATTATAATAGATTTGCAAAAGAAAATCTAACAGTTTAATGAAATACATTTCTTCGTTATTTTCTTGTTCCATATACTAATGTTTAAAAATAGTTGCTATTGATTACTCAAAAAAGTCTCCATCTTAAATATGAAATTTCAATGAATTGTAAGAAAATGCTAAATATTCTCTTTAGGCATAATTATCTTCATCGTCATATGCACATTTTTTCCATTCATACTATCCGTTATTCAACCATGACAGGATGATGTGTGAATCGTCTCTTTTAATTACTTAATGTTTATCTTTTTTGTTCGTCATTTAAACTACGAAATAGGATTGTCTGTATCATTGTATTAACATGTGAATAATATTTGACTACGATTAATTCTTTGTTTTTTTTTTTGCACAAGCCTGTAAGCAATAATGTCGTTTCAATATTATTCGATTTTTTTTTTTTTTGCATCATAATTTATCATTAGCCATAATCGGTATTAAATATTGTCATGATTGTCAAAATCATTAATAACAAACAGTGATTTAATACAATAAAAATTTGACTTATATTAATGCAGAGATATGTCAGCCGTATAGATACTACAATATAATATTGTATTATGGTTGAATAGTTTTAAGTTGCTAACAATATTTTGAAATGTGTCGCTTTGTCATTTAGTTTCGATATTCAATGTTAAAGACGTCTTGTATTAGTTTAAAGAAGAAATATTTCTGTATTAATTTAAGTTAGTGATACGCTCTGTTAGATCTACGCTATAAATTATTATAATGGTACGAATAATCGAAAATATTTTGTCACATGTTCTATTGTACAACGTATATATCTAGATTATTTTTTCTATAGAGTCCAAGGACATATAGTTTTTCATGCATTTTATCAATATTCGATTGATATTAGTTTAGAAATTGAATTATTTAAGTACCAGTTAGAAGTCAAGTTACTTTTTTGTCTTTCTTTTGAGTCTTTTCAATAGATGTTAATCGAAAAAAAAAGTATCTTATATCTTCATATCGATTATGAAATTTAAATATGAAAATTATATTAATAGTATAAGAAGTACTGTTCGAGATTATAAAATTGTAGATTTGATGAATTCTACTACTGTATTCTCTTGTTAACATTTTATATTTCTGCATTTATGAAAATATTTTGACAAATAAAAAATTTAAGGTCTTTCCTTCTTAGTTTCAAAAAAAATGTTTCATACAATTCAACGACAACTAAAAATATTTCTCTTAATCACATGTTACTTTTTCAATATCATAAGTAAGTTAATAAATTTCTTCGGAAATGAAAACATTATGAATATTAGTTGGAGGTCCTGATCAACGTCGTTTGTTAAAATATCTATTGACTGATAATGGATATAATCCAATTGAACGACCTGTTCAAAATGATTCTCATACATTATCTGTCATTATAAATTTGGCTTTACAACACATCATTGATTTTGTAAGTGAGATTAAATATATATATATATTTTATTTTTTGTCAATCTTAAAATATACATAGGATGGAAAAAATGAAGCTATTGTTATTAGTGGATGGATGACTATGGTATGTGTACTAAGCTATAATATCTAATCTTATCATTCATATATATCTGTATAGATGTGGAATGATTATAGTTTAAAATGGAAACCAGAAGATTTTGGTAATATTGAAACACTACGAATACCAAGTACACAAATTTGGACGCCAGACATTCTCCTATACAATAGGTAGATTATTTGTCAAAGAACAGATATCTTGAAAAATTATGTTCCTTTTTTTTTTTTTCTTCGAAGTGCGGATGAAAAATTTGATCCTACAATGAAAGTTAATGCTGTTGTGCAACATAATGGTGATATACTATATGTTCCACCAGTATTGTTCAAATCAATTTGTTCATTTGATATTGCTGGATTTCCATTTGTAAGTATCAAAAAAGAAAAAGTATTTCAGTTATATCGTATTTTTATCTTGATTGGTTGTCTTTTTTTGGATACACAATATTGTACGTTGAAATTTGGACCATGGACATATGATGATTTTGGTATGTGATGAAATCATATTTTCTAGAACGAAATTCCAAATTTCTTTGCATATGTTATGCTTTTTTTATTAATTAGGAATCAATTTAACGGCTGAAAGTAGTAAAGGTCAATTAGATGCATACGTCAAAAGTGCTGAATGGGATTTAGAAGGTAGTCGATATAGATTATATATTCACTTTATTCTATTCGTTCTATTTTAGATTTCTCTGCAACGAATAATAGTACCAAATACGACTGTTGTCCAAATGTGTATCCATACGTACTATACACTATTCAAATTCGTCGACGTTCTCTCTATTACTTTACAAATATAGTTGGTAATAAAATACTAACATCAACAGTTTTTCTCATCATTGAATTATTACTATTGTTTTTTTCGTTTCATAGTACCTTGTTTTCTTATCAGTTGTATGACATTACTTGGATTTTTATTAGCACCAGATAGTGGTGAAAAATTAACTTTGCGTAAGTTAGAATTTTATGATAAAAAAAAAATTTATTCTCATACATTCTAAATCTTCAGAGGTTACAATTCTTCTAACTGTTGTTATGTTCAGTTTACTTCTATCAGAAATTATGCCACCAAGTTCAAATGCTATACCTATTATTACTATTTATTTCATGTGTATTATGATTATGTCAGCGGTTTCCGTTGTTGCATCCGTAATAGTAATATCACTTCATTTTCGAAATTCAAAAAATTATACAATGCCATTATGGGTAAATCATATTTCAAAATAAATAAATCATATCATTTTAGAATTTATTTCAGGTTCGTAAATATATTTGTAACTATTTAGCATGGCTATTATTTATGAAGCGTCCTAATCATGATTTAAGTTGGCGTGCAATTCGTCGTCAATGGGCTTTTCTAAAACAAGAACCAAATAATATAAAAGCATTGATTGGTAATAATCATTCTAAAATTCCTTCAGAACCATTGTTACATAAGACATTCGAATTATTACCAAACAATATTATAGATATCGAAAAAGAATCTTTAGAATTTCAAGATAATCAAGAAAAACAACGTTCGGATGTACTATTAGAATTTTCTGTACCTCGAGTTACGAAAATTCATCGTAATGTATCAAAAGAGTTGCATACATGTGATATGGAAATGGTTCGTTCTGAACTACGTATTATTATTTCTCAACTTACTGTTCTTACTAATCATTTTCGACGACAAGAAGAACATGATGATGAAACTCAAGATTGGAAATTTATAGCAATGGTCATTGATCGTCTTTGTCTAATTATTTTTTCAATAATCATGTTTGTTTTTACTACACTTACTTTTCTTAATGTTTAATTATTTTTTGAACTTCAATTTATTGCGTTTCGTTTTTTATTTGTTGGTATAACCATATTTTGTCTTAATTATTTCTTGTATCTTAAATATATGTGTTTTAATAAGCTACTCTATAGAGAAAAAATTGACAATTTTATACAAACTATTCAATGAATGAATCTAAATAGTTGATGATATCTTGTCTAATAGCATAGATTCTTTCAACATAGAATAGTACTAATAACAGCTGCGTATATATATTTTTGATCTCGATCAATGTTTTTTTTTTTGATAATTTTATTTATTAATATCTTTAAATTAAGTACCTATTCAATTGTTTTTCGATTTTTGAAAACCAAAAAATCTTATTTTATAATCAATCAAATTATTTCAAAAAAAAAAACATATCTATGCGCAATAGAATTTTCCTATTGTTGTATATCATCATTTTTCTTATAAAAAACATCCCAAACAGATTTGATCGAAACAGATGATGGTATAAAAGAATAATTAGGAAAATCATAACCAAATGCTTGAAGACCGACATATTGAAGAGCTTGTGGTGTTGTTAATGGTACAGGTGCTGGAAGAACAAGTACTGAAACACGATAACCATATTTGATTATTTCAGTTGCAATTGGTTCAGCAGAATCTTCTTCAATAAGTGTAATTAAATCAGGTACACTAGCTACAATTTCTCCATTATCGAAACGAGCGATAAGATTTTCATTTTGAAAATCAATAATAAGTATTCTGCCTGATGTTTCAATAAAAACATGACCTCGAACAAATCCACCAGTAGTTTGTCGTTCAACATTAATTACTTTACCATCGGATATAAGTACACGTCCATGACCAGCACGAGCTACAGCTTGAATAGCATCAATACGATTATTGAATTTAGCTTCACCTATATTTAAAAAAAAAAAAGTTCATAATTTAATATAAACAACAAATAAATTATACTTACCAAGAAACCATGCTCGAGAAAGACTATGATGTAATATATTTTTTTGTAGATCTTCACCAGTTATTGGAGGTAATGTAACACCAACACAAAGACCTCGTTTCGTACATTCTTTTCTAAAGAAATCTTCTAATTCTTGTGCTGTAGAAACCATATCATCTGTGCAGAGTACTGTTTCACCTCGTACATCACATAAACAAGAAGGTGTTGCAGGTAGACCATGAATAAAAGGTAAAAATTGTGTTAGACAAGGAAAAGCTCGACCCATTGAATCTCCATCAATACAAAGTATTTGTTTACTTGCTGCAACAAGTAAACCCATAAGACCATTAGCACCACCCATTTCTGCACTATAGATACCGACAATTTTTTTTGATAAATATTTTTCAATAACATTAAGAGCTTCTAAACATTCATGACCATTTGGTAATAATTCATGAGAAACAGTAGGTGCACCCATAAAACCAACATTTACTATTAAATCTGAAGAAGAAGAAAAATACGAAGGAGATACGACACGCATTTTATTTTTGCTTTCACGAAGAACATCAAGACACCATAATTTGCAATGATATGATTCACCACCACCACCACAACCTAAAATAGAATTTATATTTATTTTACAAAAACAAATATAAATAAATTTACCAAGAATGGCTGTTCCATAAGCAATGTATTCAATATCAATAGTATCAATGCACCAAATTCCATTTTCATCAAATATAGGTTGTTTTTTTGTTAAATCAATATGAATTGGTGGTTTGATTGTAATTGGTGGTTCCTTTTTTATAAGTGTATTAAATTTTTGAATACGTTTCACTTGTTCATTTCGTTCAAATTTATTTAAATCAAGTTGTCCAATTGCAGTTAATTGAACTCGATGTATATGTTCACCAGGATGATATGCTAATGGTATTTGTTCTAAATCAATTAAATGTATTGTATTTGAACGAGCTCCATTTTGTTCACATTTATTATGTACTTTAAGAATTAATTGATCAAGTACATATTTACGTTGTTTACCATCATCTATAGACGATGAAGGTAAATCAATAATTTCATCGATGCTTGCACTTACAGAGCAAAGAGCAGCACCTATAGCATTACAAACAGCATAATGTTCTGTTCGTATCATCTAAACAAATATAAAATAGTTAAATAAAATAATTATTAAACAAAAAAAAAAAACTATTACTTGTGTAACGCCTGGAAATGATTGATTAATATCAATGAGAATGGATCCTCCACCACATAAGATAACAGGAACTGATTCTAGATTTGTTTTCATACGTTCAATACTTCTAGTTACTAATTGTTTGATATAATCAAGTACTTGTTCAACAATAAATGTAGAGAGTTTGACAGAACAATGACCAATCTAAGTTCAAAACTAGATCACAAATGATACTTTCTAAAGTTAAATTTACCTCTTTAGCTAATCCAGCAGCTAAAGCAATATCAGTTCCAGTAATTGTTTGACCACCAAAAGCTAATGCTTCTTGTTCGAGTCGGTAAGCTACACTATCTGGTCCAACTTGAACCAATTTTTCTTTTTCATCAACATGAATTACAGTACCACCACCCAATGGTAGAGAAATTGTATCAGGTACAGCAATATTCACACGAATGTCATCGATCAATCGTACATTCTTCAATAAATAATTTCCCCCGAAAAAAAAAAACAAACAAATGATAATAAATATAACGTAGTTAATCTCTTACTGCATGTGTTTGTCTTGGTCTTCCATTTACAATAACTCCAATATCCATTGATGTTCCTCCAACATCAATAACAATACCATTCTTAATACCACTGAGATGTGCAGCACCAATCATAGAATTAGTAGGACCACTAGCAAAAGTAAAAACAGGCCAACGTATTGAATCTTCTGATGATAATAAAGTACCAGCATTTCTTGTAAGAAAACACGGAACATCGGGAGGAAGAGATGCTTGCAATGCTCCAATAGTTTGTTTAGCTAATGGACGAAGACATGCATTGAGTATCGAAGCATTTTCACGTTCGGACAAACCAAGACCAGCAATTTCATGCGAAAGAGTAATATATGCTGTAGATGATTCTTCACGAATAATTTCTCCTACACGTTCTTCCTGATCTATTCGACATGGTGAAAAAACACCACAAACACAAAATGTACAAATATCAAGAGTAAGTGCTCGACGAATAACTAAACGAATTTTTTCTTCATTCAACGAACTAATTTCTGATCCATCGAAAAAATAACCACCAGATACAAATGCTGTTAAACCATCAACCTAAATTATAAACAAAAAAAAAAAATTATCAAAAAAAAAAAAGAAAGAACGAAAACTTCAATAACTGTTTCTTTCAAATCTTGTGGCCAGTTCGTCATAGGAGGTATAGCATGTGTTGTTGGTCCACATATACGTATTATGCATACTTTTGCTAATCCTCGTCGTTGAAGTAATGCATTGATAAAATGTGTCGTTCCTATCATAATAGCAGCTACTTCAATATCATTGATAACTTGATGTAATGCATGAAGCATGCCCGAAAAAATGTCCGAACTTGTTACCGTTTTCGCTGTAGCCACCACTTTCGGTGCTATTTTGTTTTGTTTTTTTTAAATAAATTATCAACTAATAATTACAAAATTTAAAGACTTACATTGATTGGATTCAATTTGTAGTAAGACTGCATCTATATAAAATTTACAATAAAGACATCTACACATCAATAAACGACACTCACCTGTATTTGTACCACCAACGTCAACACCAATGACATACATTGTAATACTTTTCACTTTCTTTCTTTATATTCACACTTAAATATGCAATGGTTTGTGCATCTATTTCATAACATATGCAAACACGCACATTTTCTTTTTCAACCAAAAGACAAATAAATCGTTTGAAAAAAAAAAGGATGACTCAGACACTCATATCTACTATCTAAAGAAAAAAGAAATAGGACAAAAGAGACAAGATTCACTTATTATTTGTCATATTCAAACAATTTATTTATACTTCTACATTATAGATTAATATAAAGAAAGCTTATACATAGTGTACCATTTATGAATCGTATTATTATTAAAATAAATCTGTACTCTATCAATTCAATGATATAAAATATGAAAAAATTTGATAGACAAATATGAACATGCTGTTATTGTGATTATTTTTTTTATGATTAATCATCCGTAACAAATTATATGATAGCATGAAAAAAAAGAATTCAACATTTACTCACTATTTATGAATAATGATTAAATTGAATGATCAAAAAATTCTATTTATTTGATAATTGATCTTACAGTATGTATTTTCATATTAGACTAAATAAAGTTCTCATTATTACAAGTACTGTGTGAATAAAATTTTCTATTGTCCAGATGCAAGTCTATATATATATATAACTTATCTTGACTTTATCAATAACATTGGGACGACAAATCGCTAATCAATCATTATTCTGTACATCGAATTTTTTTTTTTCTTTGGTCCTTAATAAGACAAAAGAAAAGTACAAAGTATTTCTATCTTATACATCGAATAGAGTACATTCATAAGATTATTACAATGATAATTGACATGCGCCAATCTATATTACTACTATGGTTTATAGTGCTAATCATTGATAGACCTAGTAGATCATTATGCATGACATTACCTAAATTTACTGAATTATATGTTGTTCCATTTCCAACATTACTCGGTGACGATAGTGATGGTTCATTCACACGTCCATATTCATCCCTGCAGCAAGCTCTTGATCATATCGAACATAATTATTACCGTAGTATTAATTTACCTCGACAAACAACTATATATTTATATCCAACTTATCATTTCGTAAACACTCTTCATTTAAATAGAGCTCATAGTCGCATACGACTAACAACAATGAATGAAGATGTTATTGATTTTTATGAAGAATTTATTCTACATGAACATAAATATCGACGATTATCCAGGGCAAGTATTAGTGGTGGAATGCCAATAACTGATTGGATTGCAGTTGATAATAATGTCTATAAAGCTAGTGTACCATCGACAATATTTGTCAATCAATTATTCGTTGACAATCGACGTATTGTTCGTGCACGTATACCAATGAATCAATCAGATTATCTTCAATATGATGCACCATTACAAGATCCAAATCAAGCACGTTATGGTTTTCAATATGTTCAAGGACAATTTGATTCTATTCCATTAGATGATGCTATGGTAGTCATATATCATAGTTGGACTACATCTCATCATTATATCGATCGACTTATTACGTCAAATAGAACTATTTTATTTACAAATCCATCTGATCGTCCAATTGGAACATTTAATATACAAGGAAAACGACGATTTCATATTGAAAATATTTGTCAAGCACTTGTTTCAAACTCATTTTGTTTTGTCAATATAACAAAAACTGTCTATCTTATGACAGATGGTACTTATGATCCAACCAAAGTACAAATTATTACATCAGTAAATGAATTTGTTGTATTACTTGCCAGTACTGATGTAACCAATCCAATTAGTAATATAATTATTGATAATGTTGCAATACAACATAGTGCATGGAATATTGATCGTACACAACAAGCAGATTCACAAGCAGCTGCATTTCTTAATTCTGCTCCACTCTATATTGCTAATGCAACATCAATCATTATTTCAAATATTGAAATTAGTCATACGGGTTCATATGGTATATGGATTAAAGAAGGAACAACTAATATTAATATTTTCAATTCATTAATTACTGATACTGGTGCTGGTGGTATTCGTATTGGTCAAATGATATCACCTGTACCAACACCAACTACGTCTATTAAAATAATATCTAATGAAGTTAGTTATGGTGGTAATGTATTTCCAAGTGGTGTTGCAGTTATTAGTCATCGTGCTAATAATGTTATTATTGCTGATAATAGTATTCATCATCATCGATATTCAGGTATATCTATTGGATGGGAATGGGGTTATGCTCAATCTTATACAAGTAATATTATAATACAAAATAATTATATTTATAATATTGGACAACATATTCTTTGTGATCAAGGTGGTATTTATACACTTGGTATTCAACCAGGAACAATTATTAGTGGTAATGTTATTAAGAATGTATTTAGTTATGCTATTTTTATGTGGGGTATTTATCTTGATGAAGGTACATCACAAGTTGTCGTTTCTAATAATATTGTATATAATACTGGTTGGGCTTCATTTTTTCAACATTATGGTGCTAATAATACTATTATTAATAATGTATTTGCACGTGCATCACTTAATCCACCATCACATCCTGATGATGATGATCCAGATGGTGATCTTCATATATCACTTGCAGAAAATCATACATCATTAATATTTATACGTAATATTATCTATGATACATTTCAAGGAGCAAAACATTCGGTTTACATATCCAATCCTAACGTAATTGCATCATTTAATGATAATGTTTATTATAATCCATATGGTAGTTCATTACTGTTTGGTCCACAACAAACATCATTTATTGAATGGCAAAAAACAGGACAAGATAATAATAGTATAATAGCAGATCCATTATTTATTGGAAATGTTAATCAATGTGATTTTTTTACTATTCGATCTGATAGTCCTGCAGCAAAACTTGGTTTTGCAAATATCACTAAACTTTCGAAATGGACATCCGGATGTGATACAAATGATAATAATCAATTTTATCATTGGTAATCGAAATGATTTACACTAAACTTTTTATCATGTATTTTCAATGGGTGTGGGTGATGGGTTCAACGACAGTGAGTTTATTGTTACTATTATATTCTTTTTTTTTCTTTTGTTAGCATCGATCTTACTCACTATGACCTAATTTAGATTCTTAATTTCTCATATTATTTGATAGATTGTATAGTTCATTTATTGATAAATAAAAATCATTGTTACATATAGAGAAATTTTTGTGTCAATACCACTACATAGAAGTACTTCATCAGTCAATACAATGAATAAATTTAAAATGTTGATCATTGAATAAATCATGTATTGCTTTGTTTTATCTACTACATAGTCTAATAATTCAATCGAAGTCAATCCTTCTTGTGAAGACTTCGATGTTTACATGCGAGTGCTTGCAATGATCAAACACATATTATAGTCTAACATATTTTTTCGAAAAAGTAAAACAATGATAATTGCATGTATGTAGTTGTCAAACATATACCTATGCGTATACTACTGGTTTGCATTTATGCACAATGCACATGTTGCTATTTTTAGATAACTTACAGATTTCTTCATGAAATACATTGACTGAAGAAATATCGTGCAAATTAATATAATTTGCTGGAAATATTCAATAATTATATGCGATTTTTTCTAAGTTTCGTATTTGACTGGAAGTAATAAGACAAAAAAAGTAATTACATCATATGTTTTAGTTAGACAGAAATTTTTTCCGTCCTTTTATTGACCATATTCGTAATTCAAAGAAAAAAGAAAAGAAAAAAAAATGATTGCCTTTACATTCTTTTTTTTCCATCATTTATGAGTAAAACGACTTTGTTTTTATGACGTCTTCATTATCATTGTCAACAACACCTTGTACTTCATGTGATTGTAAGAATGTGGGTATTTTAAAATGTGAAGGTTGTTCACAAATATTTTTTTGTCGGAAACATGTTATCGAACATCGAGATCTTCTTAATCAACAATTAGATAGAATTGTTCACGAACATGATACTCTACAACAAATAATTGTGGAACAGAAAAAACAAAGAAAATAATCATCATTATTTTCTCAAACAAATTAACAAACGGGAACAAGACTCAATAATAAAAATTCAACAAACAGCAAATGAAATACGGCAACAAATAGAAATATTAATCAGTTCAAAAAAAAGGTAAATACAGTGGATTTAACAAGTTCGTTTTCGTCCTTAAATATTAGTTTTTATTTTTAGAAATCATATCAAAAGAATTGCATGATCTCGCTGAACAATTAAGAAAAGCTCGAGTAGATGATGATTTTATTGAAACTGATCTTCGTACGTGGACAGACAAATTAAAAAAAAACTAAAACATGATGTTAGTAATGTTTCATCTTCGATAACTATTAGTGAAGATCCAACAAACATACTTGTAACTAAAATATTTGTTTCTTCAACCCCGCCACAATATTTAGAAAAAGATGAACGATTTGAAAAATCTATTGGTAATGTTTGCATTGCAGAGAATGGTCATTTAGCTTATCATATTGGACCACAGAGAGATCGTGCATTTGTTATTTCATCGGGCAAATATAAAATTCGATTTATAATGAATAAGAAAAATTCAAAATTTGTTATGTCGTTTAATGTCATCTCAAAATATACTTCCATACATAAAAATGAATTTGAACTAGGAAAATCAAGTTATGATTGGTACAACGATGGTGATACTTGTTGTGGTGGTGTTGATTTACTACCCAATAAAGACAAACGTGATATGCAAGGTGAAACGACATTTGAAATCGAATTGTTTCTCGACTGTGATAATCAAAAGATAAGTTATTTCAATGAACGAACGAAAAATAGACGAGAAATGAAAATTAATCTTACAAAGTGTCCACTTCCTTGGCAATTACTTTTTTATTTATATGATGTTGAAGATTCTGTTCGTCTTTTATCTTCAAAACAATTACTTTGAATATCAATCATGAGATTAATATTTATTTTTAAAGAAATCTTAAGAACAAAAAACACTATTCAGGAATACGTTCTTATCTCATATCGTCAAAAACAAGCATAATTACATACAAATTTTAACTTAAGTAATAAAAATAATTAATGCGAAGGAACTATCCGAACTTATATTTGCTATTTTGAATGATTCTACTGAATTTTCGATACAACTTGAAATATTTGCCGAAAAATCAAATAACGGAATTTGTACTTAAAATTTTATCTATAAATAAATTGAATGATATCCTGCAAAGTTTCATATTGAAATTTCGTTATTTGAAACTTCGGTAAATACTTCAAGCTGGATCGGTTATTCAATAGAATGGTCGTAACTCAGTTCCAAAGGTTCTCGGTCATGAATTCTTTTAGGGTTTTTCTACTCTTTGATTCATTCGAAGATATATATATTTTATCAGAAATTTGAAATATTTTTTATATGTTCATTAGATACGAGATATGCGCTAAAACATTAGCACGAGCTCATCAATTGCAGATTAAGATTTGCAATCAACAAATAAGGAAATACAGAAAATTCTTTCTTTCTTGCATGAATTCTTTTTTGATCCTGAGATTTTAGAGATTTCCATAGTTTTCTACAACTTCAAATAAGTAGCAGAAAATGACATACATATGTTTATTATCAACAAGATAAAAAATATCTATTATTGATAATAGTATCGTTAATGCAACAGTCTAATATAAAAGTGAAACACGATTTGAAACGATACAAATGAGACTTCATTTGGACAAGAACTGTCTTGCGATATGCTACATTCAGATCATCACATCTGTTTGATAGTTTTGTCATTTATTAAAAATGTGGTCTATCTATTTAAAAGAAAAATTCTTATATTTAGAAGCTTCTATCAAAAATCATTCGTATATTGAATCAATTTTTAGATAAATTCACAATACGTGATGTCGTTGAGCAGCGGCATAAGTCACCACTGAAGGCAGAGGAGAGTATAAAAAAAACGGATTTCTGGTTGTTTACTATGTTTTCTTTTGCGTAGACAATACAGTTCAGGAACCCATGTAAAAAATTTGAATTGAGAATCAGATTAAAAATCGATTATAATGGCACCTGATTTTGATCAGATTTTTCACCTTGAAATGACAAATTTTATTTCATTTTGACTTTTTTTTTGTCTATTTTAATCGATTACCTACAACGACAATAATAATAGCTTTCAAAAAAAAAACAAAATAAAATAAAATTCGTTATTTCAAGGCGAAAAATCAGATTATAATAGTGCCATTATAATAGATTTTTAACCTGATTCTTAATCCAAATTTTTTACATAAGATGAGCACAAAAGGGATACACAGTTGTACCGAGGTAATCCAGATTGAAAGACCCATGTACATTTTTTTCAGCACTATAATCTTCTTTTGCTCATTGTGTTTAAAAAAAAACACTTTTGACCTAGAAACATCTGAAAATATGAAGAAAAAAAATTGTTGTTTTTACCTTCCTTCATTTTGAGGAAAAAAAACAGTCATCATATGGAGTCAAAAAAATTTCTAGGTATGTCTAACGCCGAAGGCGTTTACATCAGCGACTATTGATTGAAATCATAGTTTATAGAACGCGATATTAATAGAAACTCCCTAGAAATAGGTTTTAAGCTTTCAAAATATGCTTAAGCTTATGCAATTGACACCATTTATGCAAGCGAAATTGCTTTGTCGGCAGGTCTAAATCCTATTTCAGTGTTGTTGCGTTCCAAAATCTAAATGGTCGTTGAATGAAACCGTTGATAATTGTTTAAAAGTTTTTGCAGCCGAAGACGGCCGCACTCGTGATCATTAAAAAAATCAAAGTCTTTAGACGTGAAAAGTATCATAAAAAATGTTTAAATGATATATCAAACTCCTTAGATTAGTTGTGATTGTAAAGTTCTTACATTTTTGCGAAGCGAAAAATTTTTTCTTCAGTTTATATCTTGTTCAATAAAGACTTATTTAATTCAGCACTTTTAGCCAAAGAGTTAGTAAACTTCTACTTTATGTCTGTTTTCGCCCTTTTTAGTAGTGAAAATAACCAAAACTTTCAAGTATTCGGAGAGGGGGGGGAGGGGGGGCGTTCTCATAGAGAATTTCAAAAGCAGGGGAGGCGTAACGCCCCACGCGCCTTCTCCCTCTATTTACGCATCTGTCGTTGACATTTGAACAATAGTAAATTTAATTTTTATTGAGTACTTAACTGTCTTCTAGTCAATGAATATCATTCATTGGCGACTCAGCTATGGAATATTAGATTCTGTTATCTAAAAGAACGGAGACTTTTTTTTTGCGAAAAAAAAACAGCGAATTTATGAATTGTTTGTGATCATCTGGTTGTCATTCAATCTTTCTATTCCCTTCATTAGATTTGAGCTGTTATCTTTTGAACTAGTACAAAGATTGAAAAAATAGAAATATTAATTCAATCGAACTTCTCAAATATTCAATTTAGTTTTAATCATGAGGTCTCGAAAATTTTTTTTTTTTCATTTGTTAATTCATTTTTATCAAAAAGCAATTTTTCCAGAATTTGAAGTAGAATGTTTAAATTCATAGTATTTTTCTGTAAAATTATTAAATACAGATAGCAGCATGTTACATCATATTATTGTTCATTCATATTGAAAAATATAACATCGCAATATTGACTAACTGATAAACAAATGATAAGATGATAATATTGTAGCCTAGCATAAACAGCGAGCGGACAATAAGAAAGACAAAAGAAACATTTTTTTGTTGATATAAAAAGATAACTTATTTCAATCTCCGAATTCGTTTATTTTCAGACAAATTTCTTACAAATATATCGATATTACATTTTTCCTATGTAACAATGATATTTGCTTCACTATAGTAGAATTGCATTCCATATCCGATGGGCAACATATCACTAGTTCAAAACATCGAAGATGAAAAATCTGTAAGCACAATTAATGATAAACATAAACAAATTGTCACACTTATTTGGTTTGAACAAAATATTAAATTAAGTCAAGATACTAAAAAAATAGAACAAACACTACGTGATATTAATGATTATGTTATTTTTTCTACTGGTCTTGAACAATGTATTACATCTATCGAATCAATGCATAAAGAAAAAATCTTTTTAATTACATTAGGATCAAAAACATTAGAAATTTTACCTCGAGTTTCTTCTCTTCGTCAAATTGATTCAATTTTCATCTTCAATATCGAAAAAGATCGCAATGAATATTTATTAAAAGAATATCCAAAAATTATTGGAATTTATATGAATCTTGATGATTTATGTAAATCAATAAAAGAACAAATTGATATTGTCAATAGACAAATACATTCGTTCTCCTTTTTTGATCAAAATCAAAAATTAACTGAAGATTTATTAAAAGAGTCAGCAGAATTTCTTTGGTTTCAATTATTTAATTACATGCTTTCTACTCTTTCACGAGATCAACAAGCTAAACAACAAATGATTCAAATATGTAAAGATTATTATCATGGAAATACAAAAGAAATAGAATTAATTCATCAATTTGAGCAAAACTATCGATCAAAAGATGCACTTCTTTGGTATTCAAAACGAACATTTATTTATAAATTAATTAATAAAGCTTTAAGAACAAAAGATATTGATTTATTATATAAACTTCGATCTTTTATTGATGATTTATCGGAAAATCTTCAACGTGAACATGAGAAAATTTTATTATCAAACGAAAACACTTTAAATGTTTATCGAGGAGTTAAAATTCAAAAAGAAGAATTTAACAAACTAAAAGAATATCAAGGAAAACTTATTTCAACAAATGGATATTTATCAACTAGTCGACTAAAATCATATGCATCAAGTTTTGCTCAAAAACCAATAAAAAGAACTGATCTTGTTTCTGTTCTTTTTCATATTCAATGTAATATTAAACATATTGATAAAAATATTACTTTTGCTGATATTGATCAATATAGTGATAATCCATATGAACAAGAAGTTTTATTTGACTTAAATGCTTGTTTTCAAATTGAGTCTGTGCAAGAAAATGAATCCGTACATATAATAAAAATGAATCTTTCAAATGAAGGACAAAAAATTACTAAAGATTATATTGAATTAACACAAAAACAAACAGAAGAAATAAGTATTTCGATTGTTTTTGGAAGATTATTGTGTGATTTAGGTGAATATGATAAATCACAAAAATATTTTCAATATTTATTCAACAGTTCTCAAAATGAAGATCGTTCTTGGATTGAATTTAATATTGGTCGAGCTCTTTATTGTAAAGATGAGTGGAATGAAGCCCGAGAATACTATGATCGTGCATATGATCGAATGATAAAGAGTAAACCAGCACGAGTGAAAGATTCTGCTCGTGTTCTCAATAATATCGGTGTTATTCTTGATAATCAAGGAAAATACGATGAAGCTCTTGATTATTATCAACGAGCATTGAAAATTCGAGAGGAATTTTATCCATCGAATCATGTTGATATTGCTACAAGCTTCGAAAATATTGGCATTATTCTCTTTAAACAAAAAAAGTACGAGCAAGCTCTTGATTATCATAAACGAGCATTGGAAATTCAACAGAAACTTGATTCATCTGCTCATATCAACATTGCTACAAGTCTCAATTACATTGGTATCATTCTCCGTAATCAAAGGAAATATGATGAAGCTCTCGATTGTAATCAACAAGCGTTGAAAATTCAACAGATACTTTATCCATCTGGTCATATTAAAATGGCTTATAGCCTCAACAATATTGGTATTATTCTTTATGATCAAGAAAAATATGATGAATCTCTTGATTATTTTCAGCAAGCATTGAAAATTCGAGAGAAATTTTACCCATCTAGTCATGAAGCAATTGCTATAAACCTCAACAACATTGGTATGGTTCTCCGTCATCAAAGAAAATACGATGAAGCTCTAAATTATCACCAAAGAGCATTGAAAATTCTACAGAAATTGTATCCCACTGGTCATGA